CGTAACAAGGTCGCTATCACGTGCTAATGTGTAGCAATCGGAACTAACATAGAATACGTAATAATACGTAAAGTGCGATTCAGATAACTAAACGTAGCCTTTTGGTAGTCGGAAAATAAACAAGTAAACCTAAAGGAACTTCGGAGTCTGAATTATTACCTACAATCTACAATTACAATCGGGATTGTCGTCAACGACGAGAAAAACCCAACTTCTCCTTTTCGAGCCGTAGCCCCGGCAGCCTGTTAGGTCCTCAGCGGAATATTTACGATCTAATGCTTTTTTATACACTTATATACCAAATATTATCAACCAAACTTGCTATTTAAAAACTGATCGCCTTTGCAACTACCGAGCATTAGCTTTAACTTTCGTCTATTTGGTTTTATTATTGTAGAGGTATAGAAAAATTCTGTTCAGTCTGCGAGTGCACAAGATTTGTGACGATAAAGTGTTTACACAGTGAAAATAATAGACTGTTTTTATGATAGGTATATTATCTTATTCAAATTTTATCTAGAATGGCCCAAACACTACCTCATTAGCGTATGATTTAGGTAAACATTTTTATCACAATCGAAAATTTTTGGTCAAGAAAATGTCCAATGTAGATATTATAATAACACTATTTGTAAAATGGTAGGTCCGCTATTATATGAATCGGCCGGGCGAGTCAACTCACTTCATTATTGACAGTAGAATAGCTACAGTAGTGGGATTCCGTAGGGTGTACCGCGCCGTCAAAATAATTTTGAATTTTGTTAAAATTTAATTAACTTATCTTATTGGATAACATTACGTCTATCTATCAAGTCCACAGATTTATTAAAAAGCAGTTAGAGGTAACTCTAACTGCTTTTTCTTGCGATGATTTTTTAGATTTTTTTAAACCGGGATTTATCTGCCGACACAAGTCGTAATCGGAACAAGATAAGGTGCTACTTTTTGTAGCCTTCTATAAGTTGGAGGTACTTCCCCAATGAGACAGTACAATTTAATCGAGGGACCTTGCTAAACGAGTAGGTATTATGATAAACACAAAGAGAAAATTTAGCCACCAATTTATTCTTCAAACTACTCAATTACTCATTTGACGACAATACAATTATCTTGATTTGATGCTCGATGACGTGCATAGATTTACTAATTCTATAATTTCTAAAACTAATCATTTCTCAATCAATGTTTATAATGACGTTTGAAATCTATTTTAGTTGTCTTATCGAACCAAGCATTGACATTAATGAATGAATTCGGTTTATAATACGCAATGATTTACCCATTTCTTATCAAGTATTTTCAGGATTAGAAATACTTGGAATATGAATATCGAAATATTTAATGTACCTAATTTAGAAGGAAGAAAGAAACTAACTCACCAGTCGTTTATGCGTACGTATAATTTTATATTCAACTGAATATAAAATGGTACGTAAGTGTGTACATATTACTTAGCTAAAAGTTAGGAAAATCAAAATAGTGACAATCCACAATACAAGAAGTGTAATGACTGGCCATGTCACGCGACATATGTCCTAAGTGTCAATGTGTGTGTATTCTGCGTGTAAGTCTATAGCAGCCAGGTGCCACAGTGGTTGTTTCAAGAGGCTATGTTCGCCTTTTTTCGATGTCTTTAGGAATAAACCGGTAAACGAGCAGACGGGTCACCAATAAAGCGGGTAAGCCATCGGCGCCGTCCGTGGATACCCGAAACACCAGTGGTGTTACAAGGCCTTTTGGGGATTAGAAATTTGAAGATTCGGGGATTGGGGAGATTGGGAAGGTGGTAATTAGGCCTTTCGTGTTTCACGTCGGTTTTGTGAGAGGCCGTGGTATCACTCCGGTCGAGCCGGCCCATTTGCGCCGAAGCATGGCTCGTCCACACTTTAAACAAGTATGTGTGTTAAATTACAAAAGAGAAATAATATTTTGTTGTGGCGAAACGCAATGGTGTCATTGTCACGGATACAAATTGGTAGGTACTATATTAGTAATCACGACAAAGGGTCCAATTTCCGATAAAGTTGGTAATCGTCTTCCTTTCATTAATACTACCTATAATTATGTTTAGTTTTTTATGATATATTATATACCTAAGTAGGTACTTTTATTGGCAATCGAATTAATTTTGTTAATAAATAATGAAGCACATACTAATCATCAGTCACTTTTTCGCTTATGTAACCACAACTGATGATGGAAAATGTATACTTAAAAATATTTCACTTTGTCTCAAGAGTTTTCCAAAAGAATTATTCAAATATTACGAAATAGTGTATAATTTGATGAAATACACATCTTATCAATAGATCTGTTGCACTGATATTCTTTTTTGTGTAAGAATGAGTGACTAATTCCCTAGGTAGGAACGTGAATACCATCAATAGGAAGTATTTGACTAGATTGCAGAGTGACTGTGTAGTAAAGAAAATTGAATTCATTGCAGATGTGGTCGAGTCGACGTCGGATCCCAACCTCACAGTGTCTATGATCACAGAGGAGTTACCTGCCCTCACGGTGACCACGATAGTGGGTATGACCGTAGTGATGCTCATCGCAATCCTCGCTGTATTCCTCCTAGGAGTGCTCATTGATTGCAGACAGCAGTAAGTACATTAATTTCTTTGTAAGGTACACCTTAAACTCGTCTAAATGCGTATTTGAGCAATATTTTAAGTAAATATCCATGCCCTTCACTTTTCCACGATTAAGGGATTACCGGTCATTCAAAACAAAGTCCCTGGGAACAATAAGATTAATAAAATAGACACATGCCAATGAACCCGATATCAATGTGTCAGGTTTAATGTACAGCCTTGGCCAAAAGTATTAGGCACCCTCAATAAAGTTCCCACGCACCCGCATCATTTAAACAATGAGTAAATATTCTTTTGAAAGATGATCCCTGTGTCATAAACCACTATTTAAGACAATGGGCGGCAATATTTTAGTGGTTGTATAACATCTGGTGTATCAATAACGAAATATTACTTTTTTACAAATTTTATTTTTAATATTTGGTCATTCTGCATTTGGAAGTCTTCGCACAAAGATGGTACATTTGTAGTTTTGTGATTAAATTGAGAAGAGATTTATTTGAAATGCCAAAGAGAAACGAAATTAGTCTTGAAAATTGTGTAAAAATTCAACTTTTACATGAGCAAGGAAAGACTCAGAAAGAAATTGCGAAGTTGGTAAAATGTTCGCGATGCGCAGTTCAATCTGCTATTAAACGTTTTGCTGAGACTGGTACACATGCGAATAAACCAAGAACAGGGAGGAAACGCGTGACTACTAGCCGCCAGGACAGGAAACTTATCCGTGAGTCTATCAAAGACAGAAAAAAAACTTCTTCAGAGCTGGCTGCAGCTTTAACTGAAGAGACTGGTAAACCCATAAGCGCTCGGACTGCAAGACGAAGGCTCGTAGAAGCGGGTTTAAAAGGTTGCAAAGCCAGAAAGAAGCCGTGGCTTTCAGAAGAGAACAAAAAAAAACGGCTTGATTGGGCTCTGAGACACCAACATTTCACAGAGGAGGATTGGTCAAATGTACTATGGTCTGACGAATCAAACTTTAAGGTAAGTTTTATTAATTGAGTCTACAACACAATTGCATCGATTATTGTTGTAGTAGTCTTCAAACTCAAATGTTATGTAGGTTTGTAATGTGTAAATTTTATTTTGTCATTTTAGGTATTTGGAACACCAGGTGTGACGTTTGTGAGGCGACGCAGAGGCGAAGAATATCACCCAGATTGCGTAGTCCCAACCATAAAACACGGTGGAGGCAGTGTAATGATTTGGGGCTGCATGGCTGCGGATGCAGTTGGAAAAATGTTCATTTGTGAAGGTCGCATGAACAGTGAAAAATACATTAATGTACTAGAAAGTGCCCTTATACCTTCATTTTCGTGTGTTTTTGGTGACACTAATTTACACGGCGTTAAATTTCAACAGGACAACGCGCCTTGTCATAGATCAGCGACAACATTGCGCTGGTTTACTAACAATTGTATTGAACTGTTAGATTGGCCTGCCCAGTCCCCGGATCTAAATCCAATTGAACATTTGTGGGGTGTTTTAAAGAAAAAAATCAAAAACCATTCCATAACATCGAAAGCTGCATTAAAACACGCTTTAGTTCAAGAATGGGAAGAAATTACTCGAGAGGAATGCGTAAAACTTGTACGCAGTATGCCTCACAGAGTTGCTGCTGTGATAAAATCAAAGGGTGGCCCAACAAAATATTGATGTTTTTATTTGTTTTTAATGGAAATAAAGTTAATAAATCAACAAAAGTAGTTTTATTTCGCTCTAAACCCAAAATTTGAAGTAATTCATTGGGTGCCTAATACTTTTGGCCAAGGCTGTAGTTTGACAGTAATATTTGCAAGACTTTAGTAAGTGTTGCGACTCCGGTCACAATTTTTATATTTAGGCGGCCGTACCGACCAGATTCTGCCATTAGAAAGAAAGTAAAGAAGTAGTTTCAATTTAAACATTTGCTTAACGGGATTTCGATACCACTCTATTATTTTTCCATGCCCACGCCGAGTCACCATCGGCGTGAGCGCCACGGTGACTCGGCGTGTGGCAGTTGTCTCAACAGTTGTTAAATACTGTACAGTGGTACAGTAGTATAGTATTTATACTATGGACATAGCCTGTCCCCATCTGCCCAAGGGATAAATCCTTATCTCCTACCCGCATTGTTGACAAGGTCATTTGGTTGTTATCATCTAAGCTTGAGGAAAGTGTCGCGATTATTTTGTTCCTATGTACGTATACAAATTAATTTCTTGGCCTGTGATTGATATCGTTACCTCGCGCGTCGTCAGTTGGATTGATATGTAACTACCTCGCTCACTCACCCATCACCGTCAATATTTAGTATTCGTTATACCATCGCTGATATAACAATTAAATTTTGCACCGTGGCCAATTGTATGCTTGATGATTAGTTACCTAGAATTCACCCGATATATGGAAATACTTAACGATAATCAGATATCAAAATAACAATTAAAGACATATAATCCTTTCAATAGTAAATCGTAGTAGTCTTAAACCTTAATTTATTGTTATTTATTTGTACATAAAGTACAAATATCGGCTTATCGGTAGATTATGAATTAAATTAATCACTTTAATTCTGCATTAAATGGAATGTGGTATTTTCTCAGTATAGATACCGGCGGAAATTCTGTTCGGCTTAAATATGAAATATATTAAAACCTCTTTTACACGGTCAGGACCGACCGCTGACAGTCTTATCCTTGGTCGATGCTTGCGTCATTTGCAGGTTGAGGCCGACCACGGATAATGCACTCCTGACCAAGGCCTTGTTGTTTGCTGATATCAAAATTTTTGCCAAATATCTGGGCGATTAACCGATTTCTACATTGTCGATTTTTACATCAACCCGACCGGACACGTCGGTTGGCGACTGGTCCCAATCGTGTACCTAACCATTAAGTTGATAAAAATTAAATTGGGAATGAATGTGTATTTCAGGAGACTACTAGAGAAGAAAATGGGGGAAGCAAAGCGGATGAAGGCCAGCAGACGAGTGAACACAACTCCTGAGGAGGACGACGCGAGCATAGCCAACAACATGGAGGAGTCGGGCATGAGCGAGCCACCGGCGGAGGTCCTGCGGCATATACCTTGACACTGCTACATACAGAACTCCCATGTACCTACTGCCTATATTATCTTATCAACTACTTGCATTATTATTCTTGCATAGTTAGGTGTATAAATTAGTGATACAATCTAAAACTTGTCTTAAGAACCACGTTTTGTAAATTCAGTAAAGTAACTACCAATGGTTTTTTTTAAATTGGTGCATTTCAGTCTATAAAGTAAGATCATTTCTATTTTATTTTAAGTAAGTACATTGTTTACTTTCATTGTAATTTAACTTGTAAGATGTGTTTCTTGTTGGTATATGTTCAATAGGCCAAAGTATGTAACCTTCATGTACATAGTAATTTATAAGTAGGCTAATCAATTGAATCTTATTATTGTTTAGGACTTGATCCCAACTCGTAGGCAATTAGTAAAATATTGTATTTTTAAACAATTCTACACTTTTATTATATTGTGATATAATTATTAAATTATTAAAAAACACATTTAGATGTATTATTTACCATTTACATATATTTATTTAAAATTCTATACTAATTACATTTTTAAATACTACTTATAAAATAAAAAATAATATTTCAAAATATAAAAAATAGGAGCCGACCAGTAGCGTGAGCATGGTCCAAGCTACCGGTGGTTAGTTATTTACTATTATTATTAATTTGGATGTTACTTGTAACAAACGTCTACGTGAAAAGAAAACTAAGAGGACTGCCCCACTATTTCAAGGCCGGAATGATCTTAAATAAACAATAAACATTACTCAGTTATCCGAATTTAATTACTTTCATTAAAACCTAAAACCTAGACAATAGAAAAAACTTTTAATCACAATTTTGATTCTGATTCGGCGAACGACAAGTACCTACCTGCTTTTTGAAACACATTCAGTGCTTTGAAAAGGAACAATCATAATTACTTCATATTTTTTTATTAATACTTCTAGATTGATTGTTGATAACAGTAGCAGCGATAAAATCTGGATCGAAATCTTCACAGTTTGGTTTGAAATCGGCGCGTTTCATCTATTTGATATAAAATATGTATCCATACATTTTGTAACCAGACATTTTATTAATAATACTTTTTAAATATAATATATCTGAACACTTCGTAGATGTAGATCATATGGGCTACCAGCTACTAGAATATAGGAACTAAAATAAAACACAGGTATACATTTCATTTTGACAAAAACAAATATCAAAAGCACTTCACCGATTTCTTTTTTTACGTAATGCTAGCCGGTTACATATTCTCATTTACATAACATTACATTTCTCACATGAAAAAGGATTCTATAATTACGTTCTCATTTTTTCAGTTCGATATTGATGTTCCTGAAATAAAAAGTAATTTGCCGACTGCAGTTATTGAATACAGTATCGATTTGTGTAAAGCCTAGGACTAGGACTGGTCCGATTCACAAATTATCAATATTTTACATTATTCCTTTTTTAAAATTCGAAGCCGATTTAGAATTAGATTACAGATGGCTTTTGAGGGGGTAAAATCATGAAATGGTTCGGTACACGCTCTGCGCTAATAGCCTAAGATATTGATCTATTTGGGTGTATTGACACTCAAATAAATATTGTTTATAGTTGATACCAAGCCTTTAGTCACCAATATTTTTATAAGGTAGATACGGTTAGAGTAATAATGGTACAAGTCTTAAATTCTCGGAAAGTCTATAATTCCTTCTCTCAAATTGTCACAAAACCCAGAACGTACTGATATTCCCGTTACTCCGGTTTGATCCTGTACTGTACTGTAGGCGACTCGAGTTTCTAACATTTATGCACATAATTTTATTGGTACATCTTAACCTTGTAAAATAATAACAAAAATAAGCGAGGTATGGTTACATAGTTACAAATTAAATGTGAGTGTGTATTTCAAAGGTGATAGAATAATGCCATGCAATATCTGTAACGAATACTTCAAGGTACCTATGTAATACATAGCGTGTCGCACAAAGAATGCAGTTTTTCTTATTGAAAAAAATCATTCAAGTGGCTCGAACACATAATGCGAGACCGGCTCCGTGGACCTTAAGTGACATCGCCACATTCCATGCAGAACATTGCAGCTCTAATCAATTAAGTACGATAAGTATACCAATCATTATTGGTGCCTGATAAGAATAGATTTTACAGTGCCATTGGTGAGAATCACTTTGTCAGTTCTGCGCGGATTGTTTACCTGAACAAACGTAAACACGGAACACTAGAAAATAAGAAATAAAAAAGATATGATAATATTATGTCAATCGAAATGTGCGCGAAAGTGATTTCTTAATATATCTTCTATACAGTTGTATAAATATTATCTAAGTTTATTTAGTGAATACCTATTATCAATGGGGAACTGTAAATCAAAAAAGGAGAAATTAAAGGAACCGGCTACGTTTTTTGAATATGAAAAACGACGGGAAGTTGAGAAAAGGAACAACAAGGTTGATACTGCGAACAGAAGAGCCGGCGAGCACAAGCAGCCGCTGCCGCCGCATTTGCAGGCCGCGCCGCCTCCGGTGCCCAGTCCGGGTCCGGCGGCGCCTCATATTCGCTCCTACGATGAAGAGGCTCTGGAACGAATGCGCAACGAGCTGCGCACTAGAAGCGACCTGTTTCTACTAAACAACATCCTTCTTTCAATACAGTTTTTTGAAAACTATGAAAGGTAAGTTATACTTAAATCTTCCATCCACAATAGGTCACCAAATGAATCGACAGTTTCTTGTTAATTTTAATCACATTCACAGAATTCAATCAAAATCAGTCACGAGCGATAAGAAATACATAAGTATATGTATAATATGTCCTTATACTTACAATACCTATATACATTATATCGATGTAGTTGTTATAAATTATACTTAATATGATTACGAAATGTCATTGCACAGATTTATTTTGCGATAATTTTCTTTAAATACCTTTTAAATTGAATGGATTACCTAAACCTACTAGATGATAATCTTTGCATAAATTGTAGATTTAACTCGTCGAGTACCGGTTTTGTAGACACAATTATAGAACAATAGGTTGCGGTCACCGGTGACCGCTTGGTGTTTGACAGTTTAAATTAGTTGCCAAAAACACATTTCGTCGTATACGAATATTATTCACCCATTTTTTTTTTTTTTTTTTTTTTAAGGGGGGAAAATCATCGAATGACTGCCCCCGCCTGGGTGAGGCGGGAGGGAGTGTCAGACTCTTACTGACTAAAAACCACCCCGTTCCTTCTCCTGCACGTCGAGCCGGAGCCCCGGTTACCCGTTAGGTTCTCCGCGACTCCGAATCGGCATCGGCCCTATTGGGCCCCATCTGTGGTGGTCTGATGGCTCTTTGAGGCGCGCGCGGAACGCGACGCGCCGTACGCTCGGGTCTGTTTCTGGTCGGACGGGGAGCCACCCATGCTCGCCGTCCGCAGGCCCGCGCTTACGGTGGCCGGAGATCGTCCCGCGATCCCCGACGCCCGGTGTGTCCTTCGCGATGGCTGGGTTGCGAGGAGGCAGCGCTTCGCTGCCTCACGCGTCCCGCCTCCTCCTTAGCTAGCATGACTGCTTCGCAAAAGGAGGAGACGGCATCCCAATCCCCCTCGCTCCGCATCATGGCCTGCACTAGGCCCGGACGCGAGAGGTCGCCATCGCCGATCACTTCCCTGAGGACACGGCGGTGCTCAGCCCACGAAGGGCATTCTCCCACCGTGTGTTCCACCGTGTCCTCAGGGCGGTCCTCGCAGTGATGACACCCGGGCGTTTCCTCCCGCCCCATCAGACACAGGTACCTCCCGAAACTGCCATGTCCGGTGAGGACCTGCGTCAGGCGGTAGGTGAGGACGCCGTAGCGTCTCTCAAGCCACTCCTCAAAGAGGGGACTTACCGCTGCGATGGCAGCGAGCCCAGATTATTCACCCATAGATGTGTTCTACCTGAACAACAACCAATAAAAATCAATGAACTTGCACTCTACATTAATGTTAAAAGGAGGAAATGGATGCCCGTAAAATATTAAATATTAGTAGCAACGATACTGATTTTTTTTTATGCACCATGAACCTTCTCTTCACAATAAATAACACAAAACCAAGTAAACAAATAAATATGTACTTATTATATAAAATACATTACGAATAATTCACATCAGTTATCTAATAAAAATGTACGTATTTAATATTCTTCACAACTATTAAATGAAAAAAAATTAATTCCAAATATTTAATAAAATTATCAGATTGTGAAATGAATGAAAAACCAGAAATTAAACAAATACGTTTAAAAATTCTTTTTACTTTTAGGTAGTGAAATAGGTGGAAAATGACTGGTTAAAATAGTTTATGTATTCGCAAAAAATACTTGATGTAATGAAAATGTAAGATTGGACCATTAGCGGCGAATAATGTAATAAATTCAAAGTTTGCTAACGTTTTTACTTCATACTAAATGGTAATTAGAATACTGAGTTGTAATATGAAAGAAATGAATGCCTACTTTAACGTAATGCTATCACTTGTGTCGAACACATATTTCGGTATAATAAATACACAAGATTGATTATTGGATGTGACTACCAAGTATATAATCCGTTTTGTGGGTCACAGTGTGTGTCCTTTATAAAGTTATCTGTTTAATTTACCAATAAGTTAATGCTAATTTGTGTCATGAATATTTTTATCAGCTAAAGAGGAAAGTCCCTAACTTTGGCTATCTTTCAGATAACGTTCATTCGTTAGAGTTACTTCAGTAAAATATTAAATAATCTACCAACAAGGTTAAAAATATTTTTACTTCCTGGTTATTATTATTGTTTGTAAATAATAATGAAAGTTGTCGGGTCCTCAATAAATAAATATTAATGTCGCATGCCGTGGCTATTGCTTATGTTATGTTAAAAATAAATTAGATAAAGAATTGTAAATAATTGTAAGACTTTTTGTATTAACCAGTAAATAACCTGTGTCAGTTTAGCAAACTTCCGTACCTAAAACGTTATTGTGAAAATAAAACATATATAATTAAGAGTAACAAAAATCAATCTCCTTTTACATTTTATGTAGTAGGTTTTAATTGGTACCTAACCAGAAAATAGTCCTGCCCGCACTGGAGCGGCAGCGGCCGTTTCACTCACATCGCGAAAAATTGTACTAAAACCGCAAGTGCAGTCGCTTGTAATTGGTCATTGTTTCACAAAATTGCACGGTTGGTTGAAAATCGTCGCGGTTCCACTCTGGTGCAGCCGGGTCCCGGAGCCAAAATAATATGATATATAACTAATTAAGCGTTTGTTTTCAGGGAAATGCATCAAATCAAGAATAACCCCATAAGTGAACGTGAGCACATGATCAACGAAGCGATGGTGCGACAAAATAAACATGTGTTTTTCGCTGATCGATTGCAAGAGTCCGTCTACGAACACGTCACATATAATAGCAAAGGCAAACAACAGCCGTTGTTAGCTCCGAGACTTTTTGTTA